GATACTAGGTTATTGGGGTGAAACATACTATGGTATTAGAATATATAGTGGGGATTATTTTGTAATGAATAAAGCTGTAAATACATAAATTACGTCTAAAGTAAGTCTATGTGTGACGTTAAAACGTCGTCTACACCGACCATTTCCGGACTGTTTTTTCACCTTATACAGACATCTTATAGTTGTCATAACTGAACATCCAGAGGACGTCTAAAAAAGACATCATAAAAACTTTCATTCTGCACCCTCTGAAGACGTCTTTTCTACGATAGGCCAAGACGTCTAAAAGACGTCATTTCAACGTTATATTGTTTGCTGGGTAGGTGAGGGTAGGGATGAAGATGGACCAATAGATTGAGAGCTTTGCTTTTCGGCTCAGTTCTTTCTTAGCCACGACGAACCGGTTAAGCGCCTGCAAAACTGTAGACGCCACTCCGATTCATCTATCCAGCTCCCAATCTCGCCTACCCTCACTCGTGAACAAGACCCCGAGATACTTGAACTCCTCCACTTGAGGCAATACTGACCTGAAGAGGGCAAACCACCCATTTCCGGCTGAGAACCATGGTCTCGGACTTGGAGGTGCTAATCCCCATCCCTGCTGCTTCGCACTCGGCTGCGAACCGCCCCAGAGCACACTGGAGATCCACAGCAAATGAAGCCAACAGGACGACATCGTCTGCAAAAAGCAGTGAGGCAATCCCGAGGCCACCAAACTGGACACCCTCAACACCCTGGCTGCGCCTAGAAATCCTCAGGGAACCCGGTCGTAAGCCTTTTCCAAATCCACAAAACACATGTAGACTGGATAGGCAAACTCCCAGGCCCCCTCCAGTACCCTTGCAAGGGTATAAAGCTGGTCCAGTGTTCCACGGCCAAGACGAAAACCGTATTGTTCCTCCTGAATCCGAGATTCGACTATCGATCTCACCCTCCTCTCCAGTACCCCGGAATAGACTTTCCCAGGGAGGCTGAGAAGTGTGATCCCCCTGTAGTTGGAACACACCCTCCGGTCCCCCTTCTTAAATAAGGGGACCACCACCCCGGTCTGCCAATCCAGCGGCACTGTCCCTGACCTCCACGCACTGTTGAGAAGGCGTGTCCCCCACAACATCCAGAGCCTTCAGGTACTCCGGGCGGATCTCGTCCACCCCCGGGGCCCGGCCACCATGTAGCTCTTTAACCACCCTGGCCACCTCAGCCCCAGTGATGGGCAAGCCCCTCCCAGCACCCTCGGGCTCTGTGCCCTCAGATGTCTCAAAGGCAGTGTGCATAGATGTATCTGAGGCAGGGTTGAGGAGGTCCTCAAAGTATTCCTTCCACCTCCGGGTGATGTCCCCAGGTGAGGTCAACAGCACCCCCTCCCCACTATAAATAGTAGGAACCAGGAGCTGCTTCCCCTTCCTGATATTCCGGATGGTTTGCCAGAACCTTTTTGAGGCCGACCGAAAGTCACTTTCCATGGCCTCACTGAACTCCTCCCACGCCCGGGATTTTGCTTCTGCCACCGCCCGAGCCGCGTTCCACCTGGCCTGCCGGTACCCGTCAGCTGCCTCCGGAGACCCACGGATTAATAATTCCCGGTAAGCCTCCTTGTTCAGTTTGACGGCCCCCCTCACCTCTGGTGTCCATCGGGTATGGGGGTTACCGCCACGACTGGCACCGACCACCCTGCAGCCACAGCTCCATACGGCCACTTCCACAATGGAGGTCCGGAACAGTGTCCATTTGGACTCATTGTCCCAAACCTCCCCCGGTATGCAGTTGGAATTCTGCCGGAGGTGCGAGTTAAAGCTCCGGCAAACAGGAGCCTCTGCCAGACGTTCCCAGCAGAACCTCACTATGCGCTTGGGCCTACCAGGTCTGACCGGCTTCCTCCCCCGCCACCTGAGCCAACCCATCACCAGGTGGTGATCAGTTGACAGCTCTGCCCCTCTCTTTACCTTAGTGTCCAAGACGGAAGGCCGCAGATCAGATGATATGATTATAAAATCGATCATCGACCTGTAGCCCCGGGAATGTTCATACCATGTCCACTTATGGACACCCTTATGCTCGAACATGGTGTTCTTTATGGACAAACCATGCATTGCACAGAAGTCCAATAACAGAACACCACTCGGATTCAGATCAGGGAGGCTGTTCCTCCCAATCACCCCCTTCCATGTCCTGAAAGCCAGTTTTGTCAGCCGGGGATCAGATTGCCAGGGCCTTCCTTGGCCGCCACCCGATCCACAAAGCACCGAACCCCTGACATTCCCCTTGTGGGTGATGGGCCCACCTGGGGACAGTCCCGCATGCCTATTTTGGGGTATGCCCAGGCGCTCGCCAATGGGCCCCTCCCCCAGGCCTGGCTCCAGGGTGGGGCCCCGGTGACCCTAGTCCGGGCGAGGGAAACGGGACTTCGTTTGGATACTTTATCATAGTAAAAAATCATGTTTTTTGCAAATTCCTCAAACAGAAAACCATTAAATACAAAAGGAACAGCTTAGTTTGACTTCAAAACATTACTATGTATTATATTTCAAGTTTGTTGTAGGGATTTTACAGATTTAAAAAAAACAATAAAAATTACACCATACACCCGCCATAATAAGAATGTATACCAAAAATGACAGATATATAAAATTGCAAGTCACAATTGAAGTGTAAGTAATGTATTTTAGCTGTCAAGAGCTTGGGAGAAACTATATCAGTATAACTTTGTGTGTATTTAGTATTTGGGAGGGGCCTCTACCATCCAGGGGAGGGCGGTAGACCCGCCTGCTCCGCCCCTGAGTGAGAATATCCTTCCATGTTAGTGGCTGAAAAAGAATAAGTATTATTTCTGTTACACAATTTATGTATGAGTTATGTTTCTTAATACGTATATTAGTAGTTACCAGAGGTGGAAAGTTCAGGTCCATAAAGTACAAATCCAGACCAAGGTTTTGTTTCAACCAACCAGATGAGCATAAAGAGTCACAGTACTGTTTGGTATTTTTTGGATGTGAACTTTCCACTTCTGGTAGTTCCTTTGTTCATCTTTTTTTGCCGTCTGGTTGAGTTATATTATGAATCTTATTTCCCTGTAGTAGTTTGCTTCCTAGCAGTCTGTGTTTATATATGTACTTTATAATTACATTACTTTCTGTTAGTAATATCATCTGTTAACATGTTAGTAGTATGTTATAGTAGTTATAAATAGTGTAATTTCCATTTTAGCTTGATTGCAATGTGTACTTTTCCATTTCTTCTTCTTTAGAAATCACACAAATAAGTGTTTGTTAATTATACATATTATGAAGCAATAAATCCATAAACTGTACTTGCCTCTATGCCCTGACTGACACACCGCAACAACAGTGAACTTACCTGCCTAAATCACCAGCATTCAGTGAAAGTGGACATGAAGGGACATAAAGGGGTTATTAAGGGAAGTTGAAGAGACATGAAGGGGCTACAAAGGGAATATAAAGGGACAAAGGGAACATTAAGGGACATAAAGGGGACAGGAAGAGGGCAGGTCAGCAGCACACCTCCAGGGCTCGGTCATAGAAGCATACGGCCAGCTGCAGCAGGTCCCTGCGAGTGTCCAATTGAGCAACCAGCTCCTTCCAGGCCTGGCTCAGAGAGGATGCCATGGGCTCATGCAGCTTGGGCTCAGCCCCCTCCTCCATTGTCCAGTCTGCTTCCTGCAGCAACCCACGCACAGAGCCCTCATGTTTCTGATGGAGAGGAAGGTGCTGGGTGAGTGGAATGCTCAGCAGAGCGCGCTGTGGTAGCTGGAATAAGCAAGCTCAGTCAAGAGATTGTCCAACATCGGTGCCTGACCTCACAAATGTTCTTCTGGAAGAATGGGCAAAAATTCCCACGGACACACTCAAAAATCTTATGCAAAGCCTTCCCAGAAAAGTGGCAGCTGTTATAGCTCCAAAGTGGGGACCAATTCCATACTGAGGCCTATGAGTTTAGGCTTTGTCTACACATACATGGGTATTTTTTAAAATGCAGCTTTTCCTATGCATTTTGACCTTTCATCCACATGCAAACGGCATTTTACGTCACTGAAAACTCAGCTTTTGTAACACCGCGTCCGGGTGAAGATTTCCAGAAACTCAGTTTTCCGTCTCGACATGTAGACAGGAAAAACACTGTTTTTGGCTTGTAACATCAGATTGTACTCTGTTGTCCACTTTGTTTGACATCAGAGTGTGCGCCGTTCGCTGTTTACATTAGCTGTTTATCCTAGCAGAACTGATTATAAGACTTATGATTGGCCAACATGGCTTCATAGTTGGAGTTTTTTTGCTGCCTATTGGTTTGGCATGCTCTTGACAGCGCATTTTAATGTTTTCATATGGATGTAGAGATTTTTCTTAATAATGGAAGAAGAAAAACACCATTTTTAAAACTATCTGTGTATGTGTGGACAGAGGCCTTAAAATGGGATGTCATAAAGGTTCATGTAGGTGTAGTGACCAGGGGCCTGTACAACGAAGTGGGGTTACTGGCTTATCGGGGTAACTTGTCGGATTTAAGAGTCTGGGCAAAATGAAAGTGAACGAATATGAAGTCCATTAAAACTGTGGTACCTTAAATCTGACAAGTTACCCTGATAAGCCATTAACCCCGCTTCGTAGTACAGGCCACTGGTGTCCCAATACTTTTACTCATGTAGAATTCCTCTTACTGTCATCAAGCACAAAAATGAGAAGCCTCAGACCTTCCACATTGCTTCTCACCATCAGTTTGTCATGGATAGCACTGAGGAATCCCCATCGTTGTCTCAGCCACGCCCCTCCGGGGTTTCCGATCGATAGGGCTTCCCCAAGGTGTCGCGTCCTGTCAATCAGTTTTTCTGGCCGTACCGGTTGCTCCCGTTCCAGACACTCCTCTCCCAGCTGTGTCTTGTTTTCCCCGGTTTCGGTTTCACTATATCAGGCAACTCGGTTCTCTGATCAGTGCAAGATTTTCATGGTGTGCCCTGAGTTCGAGCGTTTTTTCCGGTGTGTTTCCCTGTGTTCTGACCTCTGCTACGTTTCCTAGACACCGAGTTTCTGCCTGCCCCCTTTCTGGACCGACGCCGATCGCCCGACCTCAGCCTGGAACATCGACTGTGTTTTTCGCCTCTGCCTCTTTCTGGACCGATGGCAATCGCCCGACCCCTGCCTGGATTCCCTACCGTGTTTTGCGCCTCTCCCTCGTCTGTACCGAAGCCGATCTTCCTATCTCCCTGACTGAGTTTCAGCTACGTTCTCGGGCTCAGCCCCGGGTACCTCTGACTTCTCTGAGGAGAGTAGTAATAAAACAACAGGACTTACAGCTTTGCCGCGTCAGTGTCTGTGTTATGGCCTTCACAACATAGTTACTGTGTAATTCTCGGTTGAGGCAGTGAAAACAGTAATGTCCATGATCCCAGGTCACTGAACAGAAACAAGACCTTGATGTGTCAAGCCCACAGTGGAATATCACAAACCAACATCTGGTGCTGTCAGCACGTTTAAATCCCTCACAACCAGTGTCGTATGAGTGGATGAACCTGTCCAGGGACCAGATGAGTGACCCAGTACCTTGAGCTTGATCAGCAGCTGCTCGTGTTCCTCTAGGATCCTCTGTGTGTCCTCCTGGCTGTTGCCAATCTCCAGCAGGTCAGGCTCTGACTCGGCTAGCCGCAGCTGGAGCAGCGAGCCACACTAAACAAACAGCAGACAGAAGGGGTGTTTGTCATTTTGACTCTTACTGACAGGTCAACCTGGAGGCTTCCCCAGCATCCAGTCCCTGCAGCAGCTCCTCCAGCAGCCCAACTCTCTGGCAGCCCAACACAGTGGATCCTCTGGCAGCCCAACCCAGTGGCAGCTCCTCTTGCAGCCTGACCCAGTGGATCCTCTGGCGTCCTGACACCAAGGTTCCCCCAGCACACAGCAGTTCTCCCGGCAGCCAGACATGGCAGCAACACCGCAGGCAGCTTGACCTGAGGGTTCCCCTAGCAGCCCAACCTAGCAGATCCCCTGGCAGCCCGAATCAGCGGCAGCTCCCCCAGCAGCCCGACATGACGGTTCCCATGCAGCCCAAGCCAACAGATACCCCAGCAGCCCAACCCAGCTGTTCCCCCGGCAGCCTGACCCGACTGTTCCCCCAGCAGATGAACACAGCAGCAACTCCCCTGGCAGCAGTTCTTCCACAGGCTGAGCCCAAAGCGTGTCTCTGAACATGGTTTAGATAGACAGACAGATGACGTCGGTGCGGTTACCTGGAGCACGGCCACGGTGATCCGCGAGCCCCCTGCCTGCACAGCTACACTGCTGATGGCAGTGCTGGCCACCTGACCTCCAAGCTCACCTTCATGGGACATTCCCTCTGTACTCCAGCGGCACAGCAAGCAGAAGAGAAACTTTGGAAAACCTCCAGAAAGTCAGGTAGCTGGCTAGACACCCTAAACATGCCCTTCTATCATTCTACTGCCTGCTCCAAGTCCTCCGCAAAGCCCTCCACTCCTGGCAGCCCAATGCTGTTGCCCCCGCAGCCTGTCCACAAGCAAACTCTGGAGTTACTTCCCCATGCAACTCACTAAGGCAGGACAGAGCACAGAGGGATAAAAATAGAGCAGCCTGCCAGGATTATCACTGCACTGTGAGCCATCTGACACACCGAGTCACCCCTCCTCCACTGTACCCCCGACACTACCCCCCGAAGTAGCCCTGAGTGACACTGAGCAGAGACGCCCCCCCTGTGGCATTAAGCAGTTAGTTGCCACCCCTCTCTCCCCCAAAACCTTGCTTCTCCTAGTGGGAAGTGTATACTGTCTCCTGTGCTATGAGCAGCTCCTACATTATTGTATTTAAATGGGCAGAAGGCCTCTTTTCCCAAAACAGCCCCAATTCTCTGCCCTGATAGGGGGGAAAAGAACATTTGAGGTTAAGTCACCCAGGGAGCCAAATTTAGAAACTCCCCTGTTGATAAACCAGCAGTTAAACAGGCAGACTTCTGTAAGCATTTCAAGGAAGTGGGGGGGGGGGGATAAAGAGCAAGGCAGCTCCAATTCTGTGATTTTAGCACAAGGGAAGGAAAAGTCCTGGGGGGGGGGCATTCTGAGGCTGCAGCACTCCAGTTACACAAAAACAAGCTCACTCCCTGCTAATACAAAGGCTGCTTAGGTATCAATGATCCATCTGCAGGGGGCACACTACGGGGGGGGGGGGGGGGGGGGGGGTGCATGCAAACCACTCGGGGGGGAAACAGAGTGGCTCCAGGTCACTCCAGAACATCGTGTGCAGGGACACCTCTGACAGGGTCGGGTTGGGTTCACCACCAGGCAGTTCTTTTGGTCGAGAAAACCTCTGAGATTGGAAGCACCTTATCAGGAACACCAAGTCTACTTTCAGGACCTTCTAGGAACCCGCCTCCTGGCTCAGTGTTGTTCGTGACTGGAGAAACTTTACAGCTTCCCCCCCTCTCCCCACCCCCAACACTTAGGTAGCAGCTGTCCTGCCAGGGCAGCAGCTCAGAAAGCAGTAAATGGAGTTACTTACCCCGCAGAGAAAACCCGATACAAAACAGCATCTGTGTATCTGCAGCCAAAATAGTGCAGCTTCAAGCTCCTGGAAGTGTTGGGCAAGCTATTTGTAAAATGTAGTGAGCTAAGCTATCAGTTACTCAACAATAAATTAAGCTTCACTACACAAAAGCTACCACCCATAGAAATATAGCAATCTAAGTTATACAAATATGGCAAAAGTAGCTTACTACATCAGAAGCTACTTCACGTTGTACCAACCTAATACCAGATCAGTGCAAAATGACAGTCAGATACGATGGTTAAGACATTTATTAAATAACAATCCATGATTTAACACAGTGTAGACATAAATAAAAGCATACTTTTGGGAATAAAACAAAAAAAAAGTTATTGGCCTACTACTAGGTAAACCAGTACTCTAGTAAACAAACTATTTAGTACCAAATGAAAGCTACTGTGTAGTGTTTGATGGGCAAGACATGGCTATAGGTTTAAATCAATTAAAAATTTCTAGGGAAAAGAAAGACCATATTAACAGCCATCTTATTTCCTCAGGACCTCCTTTAACGAGAAAACTTCTTCAGACCCCAATTAAAGAAGTCGATTGAAGTTACAAATGAACTTTGTGTTTAAGAACCGTGTTAAACTGTGTTTACAGATGACATGCAACACCATGATTAATAAGCATGGCTCAGAGAGTGATCACTGGGACTATATCAAATGAACTGGTCCAAACTGAAATGAGAATCAAAGTCCTGAATTACATGTTTTAGTGCTGAGGGAATGGGATAGAAGGGGAGGGGTGGGCGAGGGGGAGAGGGGTAATGGTGCATGGGTGGGCTCTTATTGTTCTAACAAGCGTTTGTTTACACGGCACAAGAGAAGCTTTTCAAAAGTGGCATCAGAAAGGTGGTTTCTCTTTGGTCTGAAAATATCCTTTCCTATGCTAAACAGTCTTTCACAGGCTGCACTTGCTGGGACCCCTATGTTGTATCTATATTTTTTAATAATTAAGCTGGATGCATCATCAAATTGATAAAGCTGGATTCATTTGCATTACTTTTAAGTGTTTTTGTGTTTTTTATTTAATATTTAGTTAAAACCCAGGACAGAATTTGGGCAAAGTTTATAAGTAAATAAATACTATAGTGCGGAGGTACCAGCGGGCAGCACAGCATGTTGGACTGATGCCAGCTTCCAGCTTGTACATAGTTCTCAGTAATCGCTTGTGTCATTATAAATGTGCTGTGTGTTATGTCATATATAATCGTTAATGTTTATTGTTGTACGTAGTGTGCGTGTATGTGTGCGTGCACCCACCGTGTGTATGAGGAGTAAACTGGGCGATGAGCATGGTGGGCAGTGCGAGTGTGTGGATTAAAGTAAAACGGGTGTAATAAACGCTATCTGGAGATTTAACCCCACACTATCTCTGCTGTTTAATTATTGCGAGAATAGTTCAGCGGCCCACTAATTCAATACTTTATTGTAAGTATTATACTGTGTGCGCGCGCATGTAAGTCAGCCTGGCGCCGCTGAGTCACGTGACAGCCGGGAGTGGCAATCGAGAGCAGCAGCGCTTACACAGACAGCCGCAGTGCATTCAAGACAGAAATTGAAACGGAAGTATTGATCTCATAACACTGCCATACGCATGCGTGTTTCGATAGACAGGCAGTAGAAGCAGAGTACAAGGTTGTGCATGAACATGCTCTATTTCTGTCTGATTGTTGCATTTCAAAATCATACTGCAGAGGAAACCTCTGCTTTTCTCAGACATGTCCTGGAAATTGTAGGTTTTATGGACACTATGTCGCTACTTGATCAAAAAAATAACGTAACTACTGGAAAGTTATTTGATTCAGAAATCAGCAACGCTACAGGCAAGCTACTAGAAAATGTAGTTAAACTAATAGCTTCGCTACATGTAGCGGCGCTGCCGCCCATCACTGGTCCCTGGTAACCCCAAGAGTAGGAATGCAAACCCGGTACCTAGATCTCCCAGTGACCGCAAAGGTAGGAACCCACACATGGTGTCTGGATCTTCCAATGGCCCAAAGGGTAGAAACCAATATTTGATACCTGGAGCTCCCAGTCATTCAAAGGGTAGGAACCCAAACCCGGTGTCTGGATCCCATGGGAAAGAACCTAAGTTTGGTGCCTGGTTCTCCCAGTGACCCCAAGGGTGGGAACCGAAGAATGGTTTCTGGATCTCCGATGCGTCATTTCCACCAACACGGAGCTGGAGCTGGACTGATTCCTGCTTTGTACCTTTGGAGTACCTGCCTGTGTTTCCACCAGTTTCAAAATGGAATGGAACAGAAATGTTACATAGACAGAAGTGAGAGCAAAAGTACATATGAAATCTTTTTTGGTGGGAAGGCAGAGAGCATGGATGGTCAGAACATGCGTTGACACAGAAATGGAGAAGTATAGTAGATAAAAATGACATGCCCAGCAGCCATAGTTACGGTTTGTTAGGTTGCGGGTAAGCTAAATCGAAGTTATATGTCTTCAGTCGAGATTTAAAAACTGAGACCGAATTGGCATCCCAAACATAAGCTGGTAAACCATTCGACAATATAGGGGCCCTAAAGCAGAATGCTTTACCGCCCACTCTCTTTTTGTGTGTGGAACAACAAAGAAACCTGCATTCTATGATCTGAGTGGACGATGAGATCCACTGTTTTGTCAATTTGATTGTTTGAAGTCCACGTCAGTGTCTATAACTCCAGATCTGTCATTGACGTTTTGATGTTACATGTTCCTGTGTCCTGCATTTGGAGTGATTCCAAATAAACCCCGTTCCTGCTTCCGTGTCCAGCAGTCATAAAGTAATGGTGACTAAAGGGTGTTATTTCATGTCTAGAGGGCTCTGATAATGTTAAAAACCGTATTTATACAGGTTTCCAATGTTCTAACTATGAAAATATTCGATTTATAAATAAAGAATCCTACTTTGCAGATTTCTACTATTGCAGGTTATTTTTAGGACGTAACTCCCACGATTAACGAGGGACCACTGTATATATATATATATTAGAGCTGTCAAAATTAACGGGTTAACGCGGATTAATCCATCATCATGATTAATCTGATTAAATTTTTTTACGCAATTAACCCATCTGCATCGCAGAATGACTGAAAATCTCTGAAATGTCTCTGTCAACCCATTTCGGGCAATTTTCGTGCATTTCATTTGCCCTGGGAACTCGTATTCCGAGTCGGATTCCGAGTTTTGAAGCCGGAAGTGACGACATGCGTGCTCCCATTTCTAGGAGATCCCGGAGCAGCACAGAGGATCCCGAGTCCAAGATGGCTGAGCCTTTTATTAACAGAAGCGAAAGTTGTAGTTTTGTACTGTTTAAGCACTACTTCTCATTTGTGGCTCATTAAATTGGTCGCACACACTATACCGTCCAACTTATCTGTGGACGTGTTGCTACAGAGTTTTATACATAAAGCACCGCGCGTAATGTGTTATCGACTGATATTGTTAACAATGGCAATTAACCAGGCTAGAATTGGATTTCATGATTAGTCTGATTATTTGTCACATTTACAGTAGTTCGGGCTAATTGTAAGTGAACGAAGATAAAGACCATTTAAACTGAGGTACCTTAAATCTTACAAGTTGTCCAACTAAGCAAAAAATCTTGCTTTTTGATATGCGTCCATGGTATTGCACTTCTGTGGAAGATGAAATGCATCCAACTCGTTTTCAAAATGTTCAATAAACATGTTAAGTGCATATATATTCCCTTTTTTCTTGAGTCTGTTTACTCATGCAAAATGAAATGCAATTAATATAGATTAAAAATGAATGATATTTAATCGTGATTAATCTAAATCCCTGTGATTAATCTGATTAAAAATATTAATCGTTTGACAGCACATACATACACTCACCTAAAGGATTATTAGGAACACCATACTAATACGGTGTTTGACCCCCTTTCGCCTTCAGAACTGCCTTAATTCTACGTGGCATTGA